AGCTTCGCCTTGAGTTAGGATATTTAAAGATCCGCATGCAGCCACTCAGGATAATTAGACCGTGTCCTGAAACGTCGGCACAGTCAGAAACACGCTAGCGGCCGTGAGGTCCCCTGGGGCCTGAACGCACCCTCAGTGGACAGCGAGCCCGCTCTATGGCCGCTGCTCCTTCACCTCCGGGGAAATGTCCCTGTGCCCATGGCGTCTGGGGCTTGTCCTCTGTCAGGCTCACCAGCCTGTAGGGAGGACTAAGGGAGCACGGCCGCGGCTTGTCCGCAGCGGGGCGATGGGGGCTCAGCCGGCAGGGGACCCACACTGCGATGGTGACAGCGACACTCACTTGGGGAAGCTGCCCTGACACGCACACGCACACACGCCACACCACACCCCCCACACACACACCACACTCACAACACACATATACACCACGTATACACATACGCTTTGTCAAACATCCAAGTAGAGCCTCGTTTCCATGTTGTTTTCTCCTCCCAAGTATTTGTGCGGTCCACACCGCCTCCCCTCACTGTGACCAGGGATCACAAGCCATGGGTGTCTCTCCCCCCAGGGCAGCGTCCTTCCTCTTGCCTTCAGTTCTACAATTATGTGCATGTTGAAATCCTCAACTTAGAAAAAAAGTCATGTTGTGACATGGTGTTTCTAGACCTGTAAGGCCATCTCTCCTGCCGGAAATATGGATAGTGTTAGTGAGTGTGGCAAATAAATATAAGGTCAAGAGTAGGGACTTTCCGGTACGTTCTACCTGGAAAAGTCCTCCTGAATGTGCAGATGAACATGAACACAAACAGATGACATGACATGACTGTGGATGGTTCGGGGCGGTTTATCGTGAAGATAGCATCACAGGACAGGTGACTGTTAAGTATGTGAAGCATGCTGTGTAGACCACAGTCTGGAATTGCTTTAGTAGGCCCCGAGGAATGACGCCAAGATGCCTGGTTATAAGTCAAAGGAAGGCCTTGCTCAAAGTGAAAATATTCAAACATGACTCAGCTGCCCCTGGGGTCATGACCGCCCTGAGTTATTTAAGTTATTTTAATTTAAAAAAATGTATCAGTAGAGATAAAAATTAATCAAAAATATCCATATCAAGTCTCTTTGGGGGAAGAAAAACAACATTTTCAGTTTGGTCACAAAAGTAATAGTTAGCTTGGTCAGCTTTTCCTACCACTGATAATATGAACAACATAATGCATACCCTTGGGCATAGATGCTAGATGCTGGTCTCTAACACCCTTTTCCACCAAAAGTTTCCAGAGCTCCTTGGAGACTGGCTGATTCCTTGTTTAGTTAAGAAAAACCCAGGATGAGCATAAAATATCCTGTCTTCCTGAGAAAACAGGGACAACTTGAAAGACGTCATAAGGAGAAGATGAAGAAACCAGGGAGAAGGGACTCACTCTGGCCACACTGGAATGATGAAAACTACAAATAATGATTAAAAAAAAAAAACAGCAATCAGTGATTTCACTGGAACCCACTGATTCTGGAAAAGGCCACAGGTCCATGATATTTGAGATAGATAAATATCAAAGTGTGATGTGATACAACAACCCATACCACTGAATGGCTGACAATTTCCAAAATACATTTGTATGCCAAGTTGGCTGGAGAGATCTCCAGGTATATGGATTTCTGGCTGTTGTTCTGGGACCAAACTTAGTATTGGGATCACCAGACTGAGGTATGTTAAAGCCAGAAAGACAGACTTTCTAGAATTTCAGAAGAATGGAGGCAAATACACAATTTATGGATGGTAGAAACCCAACTTTGCTTTCTTCCCCCCAAAGAAGTAGAAACCTCCTGCTAAGGAGTTTGGTTCAATAATCAGGCCGGCCCTGCCCCCGGTTTTTGTAAACATTCTTCTAAACACGAGTCTCCCTGTGTCAGTTCTTCTGGAATGGAGATTTGGGACTTTAGTGTAACGTGTTGTGGCATAGCAAATACCCACCTAACACTAACACCATCCTCCCCAGGCACACCAGGCAACAAGAAAGCCCAGCAAAAACTAGACTGGACGGTTGCATCCGCAGAAGCCCCGCGTGAACTCCCCACTTCCAAGAAGTTTACGTGCGCCTACTTTTAAGACTCTGATTCTGGATCGAAACTGACGGAATGTTGCCTAGAAAGTCTGAGAGAGGCAAAAGGTAGAGGCTCCCCAGTCTTTCGCCTCCACTCTCCTCGCTGAGCTTAGTGACTGAGTCTCTGAATCACACCATGGAGCTTTGCAGTGGGTGCCTGTAAGGGAGACCCGCGTGGATGTGGGAAGGAGGGGATTCCCTAATTCGGACCGAGAGGAGCAAGGAGGAAATTCAGTATGAATGAAGTCAAACCAGGACACTTGTGACAAAGGCAAGGGAACCGTTAATGATTACTCTGGAAAACAGGCTTCAGGCAGGGTTGTCTGGGGACCTGGTGGTGTCATGCACTCGGACTATGGAAGAGGTCCTCAAGTTCACTGACCCTCCCTAACTTACCTTCGTGATCCTGCCTGAGCGCTTGATACATGTTTACTTACCGTTGGCTCTATTCAAAGTTGAATTAGGATGGCTATGTCAAAGACAACAAAGCATTCTTTTGTCATTTTTCTTATTTTATTCTGGTTTCTTCTTATTAAGCTGTGTGCTTGATAAATTTGACACTGGTCTGACTACTTGTTTCTGTGCATGATAATTTCCTCTGAACAACCCACTAAAGAGTATGTGTTAAATATATCTGAGTCAAATAGTGCTCTGAACAATACTAATATTGTTTTATTTTTCTATTTATTCATATTTGTTATAAAACCCACTCAAAGGCTTAATTGCTTATCTTGTACCTATGAGAATAATAATCTCCCTTTTCAAGACAGTCATTATTTGAGAACACAATATCTTCAGCATAAATAATATTTCCCAAGATCCTAATTAGAGGGTTTGAATAGTCAGTGCATGGAAGGAGTTATCTTTTGAAACATAGGCCTGGATTTGTTTTTGAGTTGATCTGAAATATCGGAGTATTCGAATACTTTAAAATGTATACAATGCAATCATTAATAAATAGAACATTTAATATTTAACCCAGCCATCATACATTTTAAGTATGTCACATAAAAATCCATAGTCATCATTATAATGATGAGAAACGCCATTTGGTTACATTATTAATCCATAGGGGCAATCACTTACAGTGGGGGGGTTAAAAGGTGGCGGTCAGTGATGTCACTAATTCAGAATGGCTACCTGACCTGGGAAGTGCACTGGTCACTCACCTCGACATCTGGGTCTCTCGTCGCCTAGGCTCCACGTTCCATTGGCTTGGCACTGTGCCAGCCTCTGGCCCTCCAGGTAATAGCCAGGACTGCAGCTCAGCACGACCTGAGCTCCATACTCATTCAGTGACCCCGAAACCAGTCTCCAGGTGACGTGCTCCGGGAGCTGAGCTTCGATGCCAGGACAAATCACCGCTGGAAATGAAACATACTTATTAACATCACCATTGTTTTCGCGACAGATCAGATCACGTTTGCTTTTAATGGTAAGACCCTTGTCTCTGAACTTGATCTTGCAAAACAGAAGCCGCTGGCCTATTATTTCAGGTGCTCTTCTCTACTACCGACATAGTCACAGGAGGATGATCATGCATGGAAAATGCATTCGGCGGCCTCATTGCAGGTGCATTGGCGATTGTGCAGTGACGCTGTGATAGAAACGGATAAATCACCCACAAGAAGTTGCACGGTTCACTTGGATGGAAAATCTTCATCAGGTAAATGAGCACATGTGTAGAAGAATCTTACATATCGTTTGTCTCAATTTCCTCCGAGAATCTTGGAATAGAATTGAGACATTGACAACGAGCTTGGGCACAAACGATCAGAAAATCGTATGCCCCTATTCCCTTCCTCTCTATGAAACACACCTACATAAGATATTCTGTATGTTACTGGACTTACAGGCACACAGCATCTATCTGCAGACTGCATTAATACTGTCAGGACGAATGTTTAATAGATCTTAAAAGAGACCATCTTTTCATGCTCTTAGGAGAAGCCCTAGAAATACAGTAACTACTGAATACAGAGCAGCAGCTACAAATGTAATAACAGTGATAGTAGTGGTAATGGTGTCGCCCGTGCCATTTTCTTGGGGTGGACTTCAAGCGATCTGCAAATATGCTGAAAATGTATGCAAAATTTAATATATGTGAGTGTATATATATATATATATGTGTGTGTGTGTGTGTGTG